TTCTTTGGACACTTCAATGTGGTGTAATGGTTAGCAAGTTCGTCTTGCTAGATCAATTACGTCTTGAGTAGTGAGTTAGATCCTCACTGGGTGCTCCCTACTTCTGTCCTTGTGTCACATCTAAGCTATGTTAAGTAAATTACTATATTCAGCTTTATACACACACTTTTGAGTGTGACACATTTTTCATAGAGTGCACTGATACTACACACTGATCCTACACAAAGAACACAGATACTTTGGCTGTGGACAAATATGATAATCCATAATCCTATCATTTTGATGGGTACCATGCTAGTAATAATAATAATCTATATAAATAAATGCAAATGTCAGTGTCTCAGCATGTTACTTTTTCAACTTTACTCCTAGAGGCCATAGTCTAACATATACCATTTTGGAATCAAGCCGATTCTGTGAGCAAATTAAAAACATTCTGGGCCACATCCAGACCCACAATCCTGAAATTTTGGATTCCTAAGTTTTCATTACTGCAATTGTTTTTGGCGATTTTTTTTACATGATTTTTTGTGATGAATCTTTTTGTCTGATAACAATTTTTATAATTTGGAAATAATTGAAATTAATTGCGAAATCCAGCAAAAGCCACCCAGGAAATAAAAATAATTGTTTATACGGAAAGTAAGGACCTATGTACATCAAATTGTCTTTGAGTTAAGTGGCAACAGAAGAATTATCATTGAACTTTTAAAAAGGAAGCCATAGTATTAATGCAATATTTAAATGCAATCATTTTTGAGTTCTTCTGTAGTTTATTGTTACCTATCATATACGGCAGCAGTATACCTCAGAAAAAGAAATCTCTGCCAACAGAGCACCAGATTGCAATCAAAAGAGCCAAGGCTGCAGTGAAGAAAAAGTCCCATGCAAATGAAAACCCAGATCAATTGACAGCCAGATGAGCTTCCAAGGCTGAGAATATGCAGAGACTTAGGGACTCTCAAACTCCTGTACAAGCCGAAGGCTTAATCAAGAACCCTCTGCAGGAGCTAGCTTAAATGCCACCTAATAGGACATCTTTTAGCTAGTACTTTATATAATTCAGCTTATCTATGCCATCAAAGATTATGGCATTTTAAACATATCTTTCTTCTTATTGTCTTACTCTGCTCTTGCATGGAGTTAGTCTTTTTACCTCCTAGCACCACAAATATCCTTAATTAGTTCACCATAACAAAGACATTCCTACTATATGTCACCAATGCAAGGGCAACTCTACAGACAAAACCAAATTTAGACACTAAAGACAAAAAACAATCTGACATAATATATAGCTAGATTATATAGTAAAAAAAAATAAACACACACATATATATATATATATATATATATATATATATATATATATGCACACACATACAGGGTGCAACGGGTAAATTGTGGCCTATTTCACACATGCACATTCTTTGAGTGCACAGTATAGTAGGGTTAGTTGGGCACCATCTATAAGAAAAAGAGCACCGTGACACAATTCACTCCACCATTAATTTAGAAACGGCATGCTGTACAGCTTGGCATTCATGCAAGAAGCTCCAATACAAGTATTTCTGAGTGTTTAGGTGTCAATCTGAAGATAGTGCAGAGGATTCAGAAAGAGTTGGATGAATCTAATGGTGATTATGAAGGTATGGCAACTCAGAAAACTCACTCTGATCATTCTGATAAGAAAAAAAACTCCCAACTTTGTTGGTGAGGGCCTCAGACTCAACATGGAGGCCTACATCAAGTGCATTGAGGAAATATTGCTGCCCTGGCTCAAGAGGGTGGCTGCTGAAAATCCCTATGTCTGGTAACAGAATTCTGCACCATGCCACACAAGCAACTGAACCCAGTCATGGCTGTCAGACAATTTCTGTGACCACATCACCCCTTACATCTGGCCACTTAACTCCCCAGGATGCAATCCCCTTGATTATTATGTGTTAGGTGAAGTTGAGCGAGAGACCAGCAAAACTCTTTGTAATATCAAAGATGAACTGAAGGCAAGGATTATGGCAGCATTCACCAACTTAAACAAGGAGACCATCCAGAAGAGTTGCAGAAGATTCTATGGTTGAAGCCAATGGTGATTTTATTGAATAAATTTACTTTTTAGTGATGAGAAGAATGATAACAGTTACTGGACTTGAGAAACCTATTTTCCTAAAAAAAAACTTGTTTTAAGAGAAAGATTTTATAAATTTCAATCAACACTAGTAAAAGCTTCTCGGTCAATAGATGCTGAATATTTCCTCATAAGGTAACAGCTAATATTACCATTAACATTAAATATAAAAAAATGAAAATTGTATTTATCTCCTTAATAATTATTCAAAACCTATTCAAGAAAGCGAAAACAATGGAAATAATGACAGTAACATTAAATACAAGAATAAATAGTCAAGAAAAACATATTGAAGTATACAGTAAATAAAATAAGACTATAATTTTCAAAACATTTTCTGCTGATATTAATGTACATATTTTCTAAAGATTTCAATGATCTCAAACATTTTAAATAAGATCTATTATCAACATGGAGTGTGGTAATAAGAAAATATACAATATTATTAATATTAATATTATAAATTTGTATTGTTCTTTTTCGCTATAAACAAATCTACACGAATAAAAAAAAAAAAAAAAAATAGTGTAAGTATAAATGAACCAGTTGAGAGAAAAGCAGTCATCTGCAAAATTTGATCACAAGTGGGGAATCAACATGGCAGTCAAGAAATAACTCTCGAGAATGAAGAAAAAATTGAAAGAAAAGAACATAAAATAGAATTTAATTTGAAAAAGCAAATTTAATTTGAATTAAAATTTGAGTTGTAAAAAACATTAATTTGAATTAATAGAATTTAATTTCAAGAAGCTTTGAAGAAGCAACTCAATTTATTCTGTCAATTTCAAACTTTTTTTATTGTTTCTCATAGCCAAATTGTTAAAAACAATTCCAAAATATCAATGAAACAATAATTACATTTAAAAGAACTGATTTTTATCAAATCTATTTACTTCTTATATATTTCAAATTTTTATATTAAATCTGATGAATTATCTGATAATAATGAAGATTTATATTTTAAAATGATATTTATATTAAATCTGTTTACTTCTTATATATTTAAAACTTTTTATTATTTAACTCATAGCCAAATTGTTAGAAACTGTCCAAAAAATATCAATGAAACAATAATTACATTTAAAAGAATTGGTTTCTGTCAACATGTTGACTGCCAGAGGACAATTACAAAATCTGATTTCAAACACTAACTGTGGCACTAAAAAAATTTTTGTGGGTTGATTTATAGCTTCAACTGAAGTCTTGACATTGTTTTCACACTAAAAGTATCACCACGAATAGATTCATTGCTGGCATCCGCAGAAAATCAGAAAATGCCAAGCACGAGATAACTCGTAGTTGGCATCATAATAAAAACTGGTAACAACTAGTTTATCTTGCAGTTGGCAGTCAATGTGTTAAAATACAAAAACAGAAGCCTAATTTTATGTCTATTTATATATTCAGCTATGCACAGAAAAAGTTTTAAATTTCTGCCTTCAGTTTCATAAAGAAACGATGCTACTAGGTTCCAAGAAGAATCTTTTGCTAACAAATCTTCATTATTAGGGAAATTCTATTCCAAAAGAAAGAAAATGTGCAGTTTCAATAAAAAAGTATTAAATTTCTTAGTAATGTTACAAAATACACTATATTTTCATCTTAAGTAACCATTACTAGCAAAAAATAGTAACATAAAACCATTTTTCAGCCAATGAGATTAAATTTATATGCTGCAGTTACGTCAAAAAAAAAAAAAAAATACGATACGTCTGGAATCTCAGATAGCACCATAATTTCCTAAAGCGAATCAAACCCTTTCAATAAAAATGGAATAATTTATGTCAGAATAAAATCATAATTATATGTCTTTCCATTGAAACTAGTATGATAATAATCCTGGTTGTTATATTCACAACATTTCAACTGTTGTGCTCTCCAACCTTCTTCAGATGTCTATTGTACTCAGTAGGATCCTTGGAATTTTGAGCCAAACACTTTATACCAGAGTATATAACTGTTCTATACTACCCAATCCTGGGAGCAAATTCACAAGTGCCAAAAAATGTCAGATAAGCTTCAAGCAACCATTTAATCCACCTGGCCTTATGTCTATTTAATCCACTAGGACATCTTTTCAAGAGATACATAGCCTAACTAGCAAAAACATATCTATTAAACTGGAAGTTATAAGTTTGTGAATTGGGTAGTATGGAAATTCATATAATCTGGTTTAGTGGAAGAAACAGGTAAGTAACCCAAAGGCATAATAGAGTAGAGAGAAATAACTGATACGACTTATCTCCCCTAAGCATAGAAAGTGGAATGAGAACACTCTACTCCCATTGATTGAATAAAGGGTTTGGTTCAAAATTCTGAGAAGATTAATGAGTATGACAAACACCTAAAGAATCTTGAGAGTATAACAATCAAAAATCAGCATATTAGTCCAAATGGAAACTATATATAAAAATACAAGAGCTAACCCACCATTATTTATTTATAGTTAAAATTTACTTATTATTGTCCCTTAAGTTAACAATATGCTAGTAATATCCTCCTATACCTCCAGTATGCTGATAATATCCTCCTATACTACCAGTGGGACAGTAATACACACCTGTACCTCCAGTATGCTGATAATATACTCCTGTACCTCCAGTATGCTGATAATATACTCCTGTACCTCCAGTATGATGATAATATTCTCCTATATTACCAGTGTGACAGTAATATACTCCTCTACCTCCAGTATACTGATAATATCCTTCTATACTACCAGTGTGACAGTAATATACTCCTGTACCTCCAGTATACAGGTAATATCCTCCTGTACCTCAGGCATAAGTGAATATAATGAACCCAAATGAAATTGGAACTCAGCTCTGATTAACAATTCCGAGCCATTATACATTACACCACCAGCACATGCAAGCTTACACCAGCTGGTATTCCTAAGTAGTCATCCATCTAGGTACTGACCAGGCTAGACATTGCTTAACTTTGGTGATCATACAGGAACTGGTGTTTCAACATGATGTGGCTGTAAGTCTTTATTCTATCAACAAGCAAATAGCCATTTATATCTTTTGCTATTGTATCTGTTATCATGAAAATATTAACACCTAGTTATTCTTCCTTTTATACTGAAATAGTATAAAAGTTTTGTGAGATTATTCCCACACATAATGAATTCTATCCTCATTTGGTGTCTCACTGCTTTGGGCTTGTGCCAGACTAGAAAATAAGTCAACAATGAAGTTATTTTAATTTTAGTTTTCTCAAAAGGAGTGGGAAAACATTAAAAATAAATTACATTTCAATATTTCAGAAATAGGATTTTCATTTTAATTATTCTTTTACCGCTAAGTTATTAACTGAATCTTGATACACAAGTTTGATTCTTTCAATAACTGAGATAACATGCATTTATTTGGCCTTTCAGTAAATACAGCAATCATAAAAAAATGACAATATTTTAATTTTCCATACAAAGTCTTTGGTTACCAGATTTAGGTGTTATCACCATAAAAACAAATTAACACAAAACAAATATTAAAATAAAAAACATGTAATAGTAATATTAGCTGTTTTCTTATAAGGATTCATTGAACAAGCAACCAGTGCTACCACCAACTGAAATTTATAAAATCTTTCTCTTAAAACAATTTTTCAGAAAAATAGACTTCTCAAGTCCAGTAACTGTTATCACTCTTTCTAATCTTTTATTTGAAGCAATGTAGAACGTCAACATCTTACATGAACTATTTTAGTTATTGCTGCTGTGGAAAGTCAAGTGATGCAGTTTTTGTTATTCGGTATACTTCTTTGTGATTTTGTAACACCAATCCATGTGGTATGAAGACGGATCATCCTTGCTAAAATCTACTGGTGTCATTCATTCAAAGCCATTTTTAAGTCCAAATTAATAAGAACATGAAACTTTTATAAGATAACATGAATTAAAAAATGGAAAAAATTAAAAATACAATTAGATGCCTTTAATAATTTTTTTTAGAGAAAAATTAGTGTTAAATAAGAAATTTCAAATATATAGAACATATGGAAAAAATATTTTCTATTTTCTACTGTTTGAAAGTCAATTGTAAACATTTCTAAAGTACAACTGCCTCTAAATGTAAAAAAAAAAATTCTTTGATTAGTAGAAAAGCAATGATAATATACATCCAAGTACTGAATTTTTATTAAATAAAACACTGTTAACTATTATTGATTCTTTACTATTTCTTTCATCTTAATTTCATTTGCTTATCCAAACTACTCCGTGTCATTTAGAGCCAACATATAATTCTGCTTGTTTTTTGTCGATTACTTAGCACTTCAGTAACTTTCCCACAACCATAACAGTTACTCTGTGACTTTTCTATAAATAATTTCATGGTAATTGTTCTGATGAGCTTTCCTCTTTGATACCTCAACATTACAAATTTAAGCACAGTACTAGATTGGCAGCTAGGTCTCATCATTTTAGAGTTGAAATGGCTAGATTTAACCATAAGTTCTATACTAACAGTTTCTTCTCTTGCACTTCTCACTTGTGAAATTCTCTTCCAGCTTCTTGATTTCCAGTTTGATCTTAAAAATTTTTAAATGCAAAGTCAATCGTTATCATTTGTCTTCTGAATTCCTGTTCTTTTACTGTTCTCTCTCCTTAATGTTTTTCTTTTTCTCATTCTTTCACTCAGTAATCCCTTGCATCTTAGTGGCTTTATTATCTTGCTTGAGGTGAAATTATTAAAAAAAAAAAAAAAAATGAAACACGTATGGTACACCCTGCCAATACCTCATAAATAATGGGCTATTCCATTTTGATCACAAGAAAAGAGGGAGAAGACATATCAGAGGCACTGTTTCATATCAGTCAGAAAAAAGAGAGGGAAGATAGAGATAATGCTCTCATTTGTTTAATATCTACATCAGTGAAATGGAAAAAACGTGTCAATTTTAAATCTTTTCATTTTTACCCTCTTCTCTAAATAACGACTTACATTCATACTTTTGATAGTTATTGCAATATCTTGTTAAAGTTGCTAAGCTCAAATATTTAAATAAAGAGTAAGCTCCAGAAGAGACTTGAACTTGCTTCCTTTTACAAGATTGTCAAAGAGAGGCAGGTTTAAATCCTGCTGATAGACTATTTATTTCTGATTTACAATGTTTAATGACCAGAAAATGGCAATCAGAGTAGTTAAGATAATAATAAGCAAGTGAAATTTAGAAGAAAGAAATACTAATGATAAATTAGTAACATATTTTCAAGATCTGTAATTTTTCTTATATATATATATATATACCCAACATATACATTCAATATTTTCTGTAATGCCAAAAAAGTGACAAGCAAAGGTTAAAATTAGGTTTAACAATTGTGTTTCTTCCTCAACTGATATTATCAAACATGGTACAGACATTTCAGGCTGTTCATTCAAGTTTATGAATATTTAAATCATTTAATAATAAAACAAGATAAGACCCTATGAACAAGTTCTAGTTTTAAATTCCTCAAATGAAAACATGGTTTGCTA